AGCGCCCTGGCAGAGCCGGGTGGGGGGGGAGTGGGACCAAAAATAGTCGTGATGGGGCTGGGGGAGGGATTGGCCGCAGTCTTAGCGAGCAGGGGAGCAGCCCCGCGAAGTCTCGCCTGTGAGAACTTATCTTCTCAGCTGAAAAGCAATTGCTAATTCTTCCCCGTGTGCGGTGGTGTTTTATTTTACAAGTGCGGCCGGTAGAGAACACATCTAAACGCTTCTCGCATTGTTTATAAAGAGTTGGAAGGCATTGGGGGGAGGGGAGCTGAGTGAAGAGAAGATATGTACCTCGGTTCTCTCCCTTCGCTCCTTTGGCAGCTGCTGTATAATTTCACCCATCCGTTTTCTCCTGTGCTACTCTGAAATTACAGGAAGCATTTGCAGTAGTGGCGCTGACCTCCATCATTCTACAAGTATTGCCTCTGGGGCACAATCACATGGGGTTTGGGTTTCAAGTAATATTATTTCTTTTCTAACGAGGAACCTAATTGCCCGTAGCTTTGAAGAAGGTGTTAAACCAGCTTGGAAATGCTGAGTACAGGGTTGCAGTTCTATGCATCAAAAATCTGCTTTTTAGTAACCAGAGGTACTATAAGTTCCCAGGAGCCACACAGGTATTTAGCTGCTGTTTAGGAATGAGAAAGATCTAAAGTGTAGATCTTAGTGTAGGTGCAGATCTGGATGTGTTTTCACTTTGGCTTTTACCCAGGTGCTCCTAGTTAATGTGTCTGGGCGGTTAACAGCCGTGTGGGGGATGTCTGATTGTAAAGTGCAGGTTTGCTAGTAGGTGGTTGTGCCTTGATGTCTCTGGGATGCTGTTTATGGCAGTGTGTCTCTCTTTAAGGTAGTTTCCCCATCAGTGCTCTTTCCTGTATCCTCTTGTCAAATGAACACGAGTTTATGATGGGATGTGCCAACCGCTTCCAGGAGCGAGTATCCTCTTTCCTTCACAAGAAGATATGCTTTTTATTAAGAACAGAATTTCTGAGCAACGTTTTTCCTATTTTGAAGCAAGGAAGAAGGATGAGAAGGTGTCAGGGTGGAGGTGGCAGAGAAGATGCCAAAGGCTATGATGAGTTGGTGTTCCAAGTTCCCACCCTTTAGCTCCTGCAGAATCTTTTTCATCGTTGTCCCATAGAAGTAGCTGTGGGGAAGGTGTACAGCTTAACTATCATAAAGCATCTTCACGCACAGAACTCAGCATGCCACACAGGTAAACTATAACAAATGTTAAAGGGACTCGGTCATTTAACACTGTACCTCTGTGCAGGGGAACGTAGAGGTGTGCATTAGCGAACAACTCTGCAAGATTGAACTTTGACTTTCTATTGGTGGATGGTAGCCATTAAAACTGGAGAAGTCTGTGACAAAAAAAGATCTGTTGGTATCTGGAGTTCTTGGAAAAGCGCCTTTCAGGTAAAAAGAGGTACAGAGAGAGACTTAAAAGTTAATGCCACGCAGTGCTGGTACGTGATGAGGAAGAAGGGCCTGATGATGTGATAGTTTATGTGAGTGTTAGCATAGAATGCCACAGAACCTGTCCGGGTGATGTGCTTGCCATTGTAGCTCCTGGATCTCTGCCAGAAAAATAAATGGCTAATTTCAAAGTTTCGCTTGCCAAACCTCTTGACTATGTTTTTGGAGACACAAACTTGAATGTGATGCTTCTACAGAGGAAATATAGTTTGCACTGGGAGAGCTCCAGTGTGTGTGCTTGGTGTTGCTACTGATTCTACAGTTCTGAGCCAGTCACAAAATGCTCATTTTCCTGTTGTCAATCTGGAGCTGATAATGCTCTCCCTCTTGGGTGTACTGAGGGTCCGTGGCTTTACTGTTCATTAAGTTGGATGATATTCCCGACCTGTGGTGATTATGAAATCTATCTTCAGTGCTTTTTTTTGTCGAAGTGGTGAAGATGCTCTCCTAAAGTAAAGAGTAGATGCTGCAGAAGGCCATAAAAATTATGGCTTATTTTTGTTTGTTTGTGGTTTTCTTTTGACAAGTCTATCTCTACTAAAACATGCCAGCAATGGTAGAAAAGCATAATTTTCCACTGTGAAATCAACATTATTGTTTTATTTATTTAATGTAGTTAAGCAACGTTCTTTTATGTTCTCTTTTTGAATGCTTTCAATTACGTGCCTTACCATTGCTTTCTGCAACAGAGAATCCCTTCTTGTGTCCTGGGAGTGTGGGTGTATGCAGCAACAAAATTAATAGGCACTTAGTTATGTAAAGTGCTTGTATTTCCAGAGTGTCTTGTGAGCCTTGAAGAGGGATAGTCTGTTCATGTGGGCCACAAAATGGGGTTTAAGAAAACTTGGAGCTGTTTCTCTACAGTCTGCTCGAAGTTACAAAATAAAATGTGATTGCATATAAACATTATCCAGTTGTTTGTAGCTCAAACCAGAACGCAGGACTTGCTGAATGTTAAGTAGGAGAGAAATTAAGGAGCATATATTCTTGTTTTTACTTCTAAAAACTATAGTTCTCCAGACTGGTGAAATTAACATTAAAAATAATTAAAAACATTCATTCTATGAGAACAATCTCTAATCTGATAGTTCTTTTGAATCTTCCTGTACTCTTGTGAAATAGGCAAATATTATCCTTGTTTTGTGCATGTGGGAAGTGAAGCAGAAATTGTCTTGCCCAAGGCCAACTCCATTTGCCCTAGAATGCAACTTGCTGTTGAGCACAATAGAATATATGCTTCATAACACTTTATAAAAGCTGATAAAGAGATGTTATCTTGAAATCCAGTCAAGGCTTTAAAAATAGGTTAAAAGTAAGTGTGTGTCCTACACATCCATTGAATTACTCTGCTGCTTCTTGGAGCTATTTCCTTTTTTAATAATACTTCTCTTGCTGGTGATCAAAACATCCATAGAACGGCAGAAATTTGACTGACTCTCCATTGGAAATGGCGAATCTGTAAAAGTGTTGTCAAAGCAAATGTATCATAAAAGTGGATGCTTTATTTCTCTAGTCGTCTGTTATTTCTTCCTTAGATATTTTTCATGTTTTCTGAAAGGATTTTACGTAACAAGGTGAGATGCAAAAAAAAAAAAAAAAAAATATATATATATATATATATTTAAGCTGAAAATCTCCCTTTAAAGCTATCTGGCTTTACCTGGTATAACATTTAGAGCTGGAGTTCTGGCATGCAGCAAACTCTCTGCATTAATTGGCATACTGTATTTAGTGGCTGTCTGTATTTCACACAGATCCTGGCGGAGAACGCTAATTGTGGTTGTCATCCGTGAATCCAGTGCGCCTGATGGTTAGGCTCTTGCTTTTGGGTCTGCAGCGAATGTGATTCTTTGACAGGGCTGTTATATTAGTCTTTCATGGGACTTTGTCTATAGTATGCAAAGGCTGTTTCTTGAATCTCTTCTTTTTGTATCTTCTTTCCTGCAGATCTGGATTGCCCTGTACTGATGATAGAAATAATAAATATATGAATCAGGGACTTGTGATTGCATAGGCTTGCAAGTCCATTCATTTTGTATACCTGCTGGCTCTGGGACTGTTGCTTTGGGAGTATTTGGCTGCTATCCTGTTGTGGATGAGTTTCTGTTCAGGTTTTTCAGCTCTGCAGTCATTTTTGCCTCTGTTATGCAGGATGCCTGTTAAAGGCTGAAGTAGTCCAGCTTGTGCATCTAGTCTGAGAGACTCTTGAGCTGCAGTCAATGGTTCCGTCAGGAGCAGAACTCCTCGACTGTTACGAGCTCAGACAAAAGGAGACCTGCTCTGCAAGGGCAGGAAAAGAAGTGTTTATAAAGACTTCATTAACATCAAATAGAGCTGGTGTGCCTGGACATCTGTCTTGCTAAATTGTAGGGGTCTGAAACTCTCCAAATCAAGGAATTATATTTCTTTTTTTTTTTTTTTTTTCCCCAAAGAGGGTTTGAGCTGCCTGATTCTGATGGCATAAAATCCCTGCCTATATTGGGATGCTTACATTTTAGCACAGCCTTTGGGCTGTGAGAATTAATAGCAGAAACTTCTGTTTTTCATGAGATTCTTCTTAGGGCATTAGATTTTTCTATATTTAACCAATAATCAGCAGGTCGCAAAACCATTAAGTTTAAGGGATAACATTGTGTATGTGTATTAAGTATTGGTAGTGCAAATTGTAATTTTATCAAAAGGGCGGTATGACCAGAAGCAGTTTAGGCTCTTCTTTCTCACGCTGAAAGAAGTTAATAGCAGCTTCCTGATGTTACTGTAATGTTCAGAACTAAGAAGCATCAGCTATTTCCCTTGGATGGGTTAGGATGGGAATAAAATTCACTACGCTGCACTGAAGTGATGAGGTTGTTCAAAGAAATGTTGCCCGGCAAAACTTGTAGCAGAGAACACGTTTGCCTGAAAACAGAACCCGAGTTCTTCACCCGTCTAGGTGAAGTTTTACTCCCGGAGTAAGTCATCAGTGAGACATTGTCATGACTTCAGGAGGGGAGACCCCTCTCCTGGCTACCAGCATGGTGACTTCCTCCATATGCCCTAGCAGGGCATAGTCTTCTGTGTCTCTTTGTTACTGCCTGACAGCCCCTCCCGGCTGCTGGAGCTTTCTGTTTCTATTGCATAGCAGCAGTTCTTTAATCAGAAATCTTGTTAGTATTCAAGGATAATTGATCCAACTCTCTGGTAGGGGGTGGGGACCCAGCTTTGCCTCCTTCTCCTACTTGCCACCCCCAGTTTGACCCCTGTTGTCTCTTTGTTTTCTCCTGTTAAGTTTGTGCCAGTGATGTGTGTGTGTGCTGTTTTTCCAAGCAGCCTGAAGTTGGCTGTAACCAAGAGCAGCAGTTAAATAGAGCCCGATTTCTCCACTTCCTGGCGTTTAGTTGTTCGGCTCCATTTTCTGGTCTTCTGTGTTTTTGATTTGCAGAGAAGAAACCTACTTGGTGCCCCCGGGCATCTCTTAAACCCATTAGAACAAACTCCATTATTTCCCGGTACTTAGAAATCCTCCTCCTTTAGGCCCAGCATCCATCAAAATAATGTATCCTCTGTAAGGCCCTCTGGAAAATGTTTAATAGGACCTTTTCAAACTCAAGGACAGTTCCAGTTTGGAAGGGGGAGGGGAGCCAGGCTAATGGACGACCTGACTGTGACTTGCCGTAAGCCTGAACTTGGCCTGTGTCAGCTCTCCCTTCACCTCCATGCCGAGGGAGCGCTGAACGGAGCGGATCCAATGCTGGGATCAAAGCTGGAAACAAAAGGCTTTGGGAGAAAAATTTCCCGTCTGGCCAAGAGGCAGCCACACAAAGGTGGTGCATAATTTGTCATTCGAGGTTTATTTCTGCTGTGCTTCTTCTGGAGAGGGAAGAAAAAAGAAGTGACACTCCTGCTGTTTTGAAGGGGATAAGTGATGGCTTTGGGGACTTGAGACAGGAAGGGGCCAGAGGAACCATGGAAAAACTTTTGAAGTACAGTCTATACCCAGCTCCTCTCTTCTCAGATGTGATCAGACGTTGCTTCTGTTTCAGGAAAAAAAACCCAAAGATTCTTGCCTTTGTGACTTTCCAAAGCATGAGTACTTTTAAATTCTCTGGTCATCTCCAAGTCCTGCTGTATGGAGTGGAACTGATGTTAGCAAAACCAAGTTGTTCAAATTTCTGAGCTATTCTTTCTTAACTGCAGGATGGGTCTAAGTAGCTACGTGTAACATGGAGGAAGAGGCTACATTTGCCCCAAAGGGTTTGTAGTCTAAATTAGACATCTGACATCTGATAAAGATCAGGGGTATGATAATCCTAGTGGGATAGATAAGGTCCAATATTAAAACAGCGTAGCTTTTTAGTTAAACTTCCTTTGGATTTGGTTTAATGGGAAATGTTTCTGAAAGTTTTTCATTTCACTCACTTCCTAGCGCAAGGACGGAGAGGATTCCTGTGGGTAGGAGGTGGCATGGAAGACTACAGAAAGCTGGTAACTGGGGAAATAAAGATTAGGAAGCAGATAAGAGAGTAGCATAAACCATGAGAAGAAAGGAAGGGATATATAGGAGTACAGATTTTACAGAAGCAAAGAAACACATTTTGAAAATGAGAGTCAAGAGTTTGAGTTGGCAAATGAACAGAAGAGGCAGATAAAGAGATTGAAATGATAGCAGGAGTTGTTATTAATCAGGTAGTATAAAAGATGGAAGTTGTAAAAGTGAAGAGGAGCGGTGACCAGAATTTAACTACTGAGCTGGGGAAA